CCATCATATTCAAACAGAACATCACTTATTTAAAAGCATATTTTCTCCCTTTTTTTTTTTGAAATTTTAGGATTGTTACATTCTTCCCTCCTTAAAGAAATTTAGTCCTTTAAATTTGTGTACCTGATTACTGAAAAAGATAGGGGTATTTTTCTCTGATTTCGTCTTCTCGTTCCCAAGTCGACTCTTCTCTTGAATGGTACTGCCATAATACACGGACTAAAGGAATCTCCTTATTACGCAATACTTGCACCCTTCTATCCAGTATCAAAATTGGCTGCTCAATGAAGGATAGGTCCTTCCTGATCGGTAAAGGTTCATATTTTAAGACTCAAACTCTATCGCTCTCTCTCTCTTTAAAACCCCATCTCTATCTAAAACCCAAATTCCATCTCTCCCTCTAAAACTCTATATCTCTTTTTCTAAAACTACATCTCTCTCATATAAGAAAGTGTGCTCGTGTTCGAGCTCAAGCTAAACCCTTTGGCTGATAAACTCACCGAGAAGCAAAAAGAGAGAGAGAGATGGAGTTTTAGAGACAGAGACGGAGTTTGAATATGATGTCATTTTAGTATTTGTTTCGATCAAAAATTTATGGTCAATAAAATCCAGGGGGTTGTAAGATAGAAAAGATGGATATTTAGGTAATTCAATGGGGAAGATTAGGGGGTTAGATTAGGGGGTTACATTTTAAAAGTGTTAATTGGGGGTGTTAGCGGTAGGAATGGATACCAAAATGTGGTAAGTGAGTGTGGGGATGCTACTTACCGGGACACCCCTTTCTTTAGACATATAGAAACTTCATCATTAAATAATACATGTATATATTAACACAATATTTTAATATATTTAAGTATATATAGTTTTTTATTTTTTGGTCGAGTCCGATCGGTCTCGTCTGGTCTGGATCTGATAACTTTGGGTCAGGTCAGGTCAGGTCAGGGTTCGGGTCCCATAAACATTTTTGGGGATAGATCGGACCAACTTGGCCCGTTGCCACCATTAAGGTTTTTTATGTTGGGAAAATTTCATATAAACTTCTAATTCCTCATATTATTTCATGGTAGGCTTTCTTTTCATTTTTCTTCTAAATGACATAAAAATCTCTTAAAAATTTTACCGCACCACCTCATCTCGTATCTCTCTTATTGACTTCTGACCATAAAAATTAGTTTCAAAAAATATTTTTGTATCATTTTAACCTAAATTTTTTTGTAACTCTCTTTGTTTTTTTTCGTCCCTAAAAAAAATTTTGAGTTGAAATGATATAAATTTTTTTTTTGATTAAAATGGTATAAAAAGATTTATTTGGAGTTAATTTTTTTTGCGTGAGAAGTCGAGGAGATAAGTGATGAAAAGGGTAGGAGGAAATTTTGAGGGATTTTCTTACGCCTCTTCAAAGAAAGAAAAGAGCGGAGGGTAGAGTCTACCGCGAAATAATACTACGGTTCTACAAGAAATTTTCCCTTTTATGGTTACCAGAGGGTTGTCCTGTCATAGAGAGGAGATTCAGTCCATTGGGTCGTTTCTCTCTGGACAGAAAATTAGACCGGAGAGGGCGCGCACATCAGGTTTATTTTCTTGAGAGAGAGAGAGAGAGAGAGAGGGAGAATGGGGATCAGGTTCATTCTGCTTGTGAATAAGCAGGGGCAGACGAGGCTTGCTCAGTACTACGAATACCTTACTCTGGAGGAGAGAAGGGCACTCGAAGGAGAAATCGTTAGAAAGTGTCTTGCTCGCACAGAACAACAGGTCTCTCTCTCTCTCCCTTTTCTGATGACCCGAATTGGACATATTTCTATCACCATTTGCATTCAGTCATATCTGATCTATAATCTTGAATTCCATTGTGAACTGTTGTTCTTTAATCCTTTCAATTTTGATGCGTGGGCTTTTTGGCTAATGGAGCGAGCTTTTTCTTTCTTGATGTTGGAGGTTGTATTTGTGATGACACGAGCTGTTGATTCGAATTTTGTTTCTTATAATGGTTATCTTGATGCCATGGATTCTTCATATTTATTGATTGGTTTATCCTCTAAATTTTGTTTCCATTTGTTTGGTTTCTTCCTTGATACTTGGCCTACAATCGCCATTTTTTTTACACTGGAATGTAATTTTGTTTATTATATTATTCATAATGTATATATCCCTTTGAGAAGTTGGGCAAAATTCAGGTGCTGATGGTACAGAAATTGGTGGAAACAAAGAATGGGATGATATAAAAGAAAAATAAAGAGAGACCCATTTGCAACATATGAAATAAATTCACTAAAACTGGACATAATTCGCTTGATTTCTTTTAGGTTGAATGTGTGAGTCCTCAGGGCACGGTAATCTTCTTTCAGGAACCAATTTGACAAATTAATCAGTCAAGAATATATAAACAGCATTCAAAAGAATGGCTAACGCATAATGAATTGGTTAATCAATGCTGAAAAGCGATTATTTGCTCAGCCTAGTCATTCTAAGAGGCCTTTAATTAGCCTGGTTGATGCTTAATGAGCTAAATGTGTACATTGGAAAAGTGGCACGATTGATTTGCTTGTTTGAAACAAAAAGTGCTTGATCGACCATTGGAAATCATACAGTGCGAAACAACCAAGTTTAAGATGAATGGGATAGAAAAAAGTAAAAAAATGAATTGCCTTTTAGATGAATTCCGTTGAAGGATTAAAATTGTGAAAGCGCTATGGATTAGTTAAAAAAAAAAATTGCAATATCAGAAGATTTGCAAAAGTACAATTGATTCAGGTAACAAAACAGGCTCCAAAATGGCAAAGGGGAATTGTTCAAGAGAGAATTTATCTTTCAATTTTCAAGCATCTTTGATCATGCTAGCTGACCCAGCAAGTGAGCTGGCTTGGTTTGTTGATTACCCTAACTATTTTGGCCATCTAGGAAAAAAATGGCTTGAGGTAAAAGCTTGTGACCTGGAGATGATAATATGAACTCTGTGATTTCAAATACCATTCTTCTCTCTATCTCCAATGAGTCCAACCAAAGAAGTGATGAGGGATTGAGGATGAACTCAAATATGTTACTCTACTTGTAGATTATTACACCAAATGAACCATAAACCTTGTCACCATGTGAATTTATAGATCTGGAACAGCACACTTGATCATAAGTAGTAATTTTCCAGTGGCGGCCTCTCAGATCATGTCTATTCAAATATAATACTTGTCTCACAAAATGGTGTTTTAAGGACCATTCGTAATGAACATGATTTTTCCTATAAAATTGAAGGTCACACTCATTCAAGGAGGCTGTGCTCATTCACATGTGAGAAAGATTCAAAGCACATAAACACATAAAAAGTTTGATAAATATAATTCTCGTAAGTATATTGGGATATAAGTACTTAAAAATGGGAAAGGATGCATGCTCATTATTTCTTGTTGTCGATACGTTGAGTCGTGTGCTTTAAGTGGTGTGAATAAAGTAATAAACCTTACTGGCACTAACTTTCCACATGGGAGTTTACTAATTGATCTTTTGTCCCCTTTATTGTAATTATTAGTTTCTGGAAACACATAGGCAGTGACTGATTGTTGATCTTCTGTAGCAACCTAAGTCTAATGGGGAATATAATGTACTCATCAAGAATAAAAAAGGAAAACTATTGGGAATACAGCCATGTTTCGTCACATTTGTCTTTGTGTTTTTTACTCTTTTGACTCCTAGAATAAATTACAACCCAAATTATGATGGTACATTTTTTTCATAGATATCAGCATCAAAAGACTGATAGTAGTGTGGGATAAGGAATGAATGCATGGTGTTCTGAGAAATCCCCATCAGTTGTTATGCCAAATTATTTATACACTGAACCTAGATTAGCTACAGAAATGGAATATGTAATGGTAGTTGCCTTACAAAGCACTGGCTTTCACATGCCTCTAGTGAGGATGAGATATGAGGCAATGAGTGGGACAACAGGTGCAACTAAAGATGATGTGGAAAGCTGCCATTTGTATAACATTTTAACGAGGAAGTTGTTGGCAAACCACAGCCATTGCGTGGATCAACTTTATTCAGGTGTGAGTTTCTATCAAGGCCTATTGACATTGCATGACTAGAATGAAAGTGGTTAATCTTGGTTGCTTGTCCACTTGTTCAAGTTATTACTATTTGTAGACCCAACCATATCTTTGTGCCATGGGATGCTTTGTGTCATATTATATCCTTCCAAGAAAAAAGAAAGAAAGAAATCTATTTCATATTGTACTATGCAAGAAATCTATTTCATATTGTACTATGCGATTTCCAATTTTAGTTGTTCCTTTGTTTTTAGTGTTTCATTGTTCATGAGCTTTGTGCTTTTGGAATCTGTCTTTAACATTAGTTGTGGAGATACACTACGAAAAACATAAAAGAAAAAAATTCATACCGTGGAAAAGGTTGGATGTGCAAACATTTGCCTGAAATTGGGTGATAGAAGTGTTGTTTGAGTCCGTAAGTGTAGGGGCTCACATAATCATACATGAGAAGTTAGAAAGTAAAACCTTTGTTGTACTTGTCAAATCAAGCATGATAATTGTATCAATCTCACAGATATCCTCAAAAGCCTAATCATGATCATCATTATCATTGCTTTTTCCCAACTATTTGGGGTTAGCTACACGAATCTTAGCTTGCCATTTTTCTCTATCAAGGGTTATACCCTTAGTGAGACCATAAGTCTCCATATCTTTTCTTACTACTTCCAATCATGTCCTTTTGGGCCTACTCTTTGCTCTTTAGAGCCTTCCACTTGAACTAACTTGCACCTCTTAACAGGTGCTGTACTAGGGCTGCGCTGCACATGGCCAACCCACTTAAGTCTACTTTTTCTCATCTTATCGCCTATTGGAGCCACACCTAAGTTCTCTGAAATGTATTCATTTTGAATTCTATCCCGTCTTGTCTTGCCATTCATCTACGTCAACATCATCATCTCAGCTTCTCATCCTATAGGTATCTTATTTCTTGACGACCCAACATTCCGCACTATAATTCAAAGCTGGTCTCACAATTGTCCTATAGAACTTCCCCTTTGCGATGATCACATAAAGCTGCGGTCGCACATTTCCACATTACCGACCCTGCTCTAATTCTATGTGTGACATCTTCCTCAATATCTCTATTTCTATGGATTATCGACCCAAGATATCGAAAGTGCGCTCTTTTTGATATTTCTTGGCCATCAATTTTAACTACTTCCTCGTCTCTACTCCTATTATCACTAAACTTGTATTCCATATATTATGTCTTATTCCGAGTAATTTTAAAACCTTTAGATTCTAGAACATCTCTCCAAAGTTATAACTTTGTGTTGACGCTGCTTCGCGTCTTATCGATCAAAACTATGTTGTCCGTGAACAACATACACCGTGCTACCTCATCTTGAAGGTGCATAGTTGAGTAGTCCATAACTACTACAAAGAGGTATGGGCTCAACTCTGACCTTTGTTATAGACCTATTATCACTGAAAACTCACTCGTCTCTGCAGTAGTTGTTCATGCACTAGTTAGTGCTCCCTCGTACATATCATTCACCAAGTCGATGTAGTATCTGGAAACTCCTTTCTTTTCCAATACTCACCAAATTGAATCTCGAGGTACTATGTCATAACTTTTCTCTAGATCAATAAAGACCATGTGGATGTCTTTTCCCTTTGCCCTAAACTTATCAATCAGTTGCCTCAATTGTCGACCCGCCTGGCATAAAGTCGTACTGTTTTTCTGATATACTCGTTTCATGCCTTAGTTGTTGCTCAATCACTCTCTCTCACAGTTTCATAGTATGGTTCATAAGTTTGATCCCTCGATAATTTGTACATTTCTATGTCTCATTTGTTCTTGTAAATAGGTACCACAATACTTTTCCTCCATTCATCTGGCATTTTCTTTGTTTTCAACACCTTGTTGAACAACTTGGTTAGCCAGTCAATGCCGATCTCCCCCATGGACCTCTAAATGTCTATCGGGATACCATCTGGTCCTAAAGCTTTTCCTATCTTCATCTTCTTCAAAGCTTCTTTCACTTCCGATATCCTAATCCTACGAATGTATATATGACCTCTGCTCTCATTTATGCCAACGGTTCCTTCTGCCGTTGTGTTCGTCATTTAATAATTTTGAAAAATAAACTCTCCACCTTTTGTTGATTTTTTCATCCTTCACTAGGACCAGTATTTCAAAAAACGGACCGTCCAGCGCCTGGGCGGCCGCCTAGGTGGTTCTGGGGGCCTGGGCGAGGCGCCTAAAAGAAGTGGATATCCTCGGGTGCCTGTCTAGGCGCCCGGGAACCCACCTAGGCGGCCGCCTGCCCGCTCAGGCGCCCTGCTCAAGGGCGGAAATGCCCCTCGTTGAGGGTATTTTTGAGTAATTTTTTTAATATTAAAGGTGCAAAATTATGGGTTTTAGGTTCATTTGAAACCTAAAACCTATTAGAGCCTATTTTAGAGGGAGAAAATCCCTAAAATTTCTACTGGGCATCCCAGGTTCCCTGCCTAGGCGCTGGGCGGTCTGGACCCCCCGGACCGCCTAGGTACCGCCTAATGCTTTTTGAAACACTGACTAAGACCCTTTGATCCTCAAAAGCCTAATCTTATTATAAATTGAATGTCGAGAATTTTCTTGATGTGAATTCCCCTAGGTTGTTTGTGTGTTGATTTTAACTTGCTTTGTTAGAAAGAGGGAAAGAGAGTTAGCTTTGCATATTGAAAAGGCCTTCTTAGACTTGAGCAGTTGCTTTGACCTTTGACCAT